AAGAAAAACAGTTCTAAAATATGTAAAATGTGGACATTGGGGTAGAATGAGCAATCGACATATGCACATCAATCACTAATATTTCTAAAATGTTATACCAATATAAATTATAATTTATTGTATTTTTCAGATTAAGATTATTACGCGATAGTGGTGTTTTGAAGAAGCTGCGTAAGAAAGCCTGGCCGAAGACATCATTAGAATCACCACCACTATGGACAAGTGTTAAATTTTCAGGCATTTTACCGATATTATTAGTACTTACTGCAGTTTATGTTTTTGCCCTCGTATTATTGATTTTGGAAAATAACTTATTAAAATGGGTCCACTATACAAAGCTTTATTTGAAAAAATATTTTATTAAAAGTTAGAAGATTTGTTTATAATGGTTAAGTGTTTTTTATTTTTTTTTCTCTCCAAAGAAATCATATACGACATGATGGTGATATTTTCAGAAATAAAAGTAGGCAATAAATATTACCATAATTATAATATACAGCATATTAATTTAAAATAAGTATAAAAATTATCGTACAAAACAAATGTTCAATAATTACCTTGACATGTAGAAATATTAGTTCTGATTTCGATAAGCAAGACCAAAATACTTGATTAAAAATATAGCTGTTAAACAATTTAAACTAGTTAAAAATTAAATTGATTTGCTAAATATAATAAATAATGATAAAAGTATACTGTGGTGCATTGCTTTTTTATCTTAAAAAATGGAAATTAAAGCTAGAATTTCTTGACTTTCAAATAAATGTTAAATAAAAATTGATAAAATTGTAAGTATGAAAACAAATTTTCTGTATTGCAACAAATCGATTGTTTTTTGGATCATTCAAATCGGATTTCGATTTGTTCCCTCAATTTTTTGCACTTTTTGCTCCCTATCTTTGAAACACCTAGACCTGCCTTCGCCAAAAACTAATCAGCACGTCTCCTTATCAATACGAATCGAATGTTTTTTGAATTATTCAAATCGGTTGATCGGTGTGTACCCAAAATTGTCGTCAAAAATTTGTATCCGCACACAAACAACATGCGCTAATCTTATATATAAAAATGAATCGCAAAATATGTTGGTAAGCGCATAACTCAAAAACGTCTGAACCAATTTGGCCAATTCTTTTTTTAAAATGTTTGTTGTAGTCCAACGATGGTTCTTACTGCGAGAAAAAATCGAATAATTGCCGGAAAACTCAAAAAGCAGCCCTTTTCTTTTTCACATACAAACGTTTTCTAACTAAAACGTAGAATCAATTTGAGCTTTAATTTTTTTTATAATGCGTAAATAAATAAGCTGAATTAGAGAATTTATAAAGGTAAACTGGGGGACAGGTAAATTGGAGGATATGTAAAATTGTAGAGGGGAGAACTGGTATATAGACGAATATGTAGACAAATAAACATGTTGACAGATTAATTGGTAGACATGTAGAAAATTATAGGCCGGTAAAATGGTAGATTGATAAACAGGTTGATAGGTAAATTAGTAGGCAAATTGCTAAACAGGTAAATTGTTCAACAGGTAAATTGTTCAACAGGTAAATTATTGAACAGGTTAATTGGTAGACCTTTAGAATGGGATGCCAGGTAAATTGGTTGACAGGTAAACTGGTGTATTGATATACAGGTAGATAGGTAAATTGGTAGACGGGTAAATTGATAGAAAGGTGAATTGATAGACAAGCAAATTGGTGAAGAGGTAATTTGCTGGACAGCTGGTGGTCAGGTAATTTGGAGGATATGTAAAATGGTAGACATGACAACTGGTAGAGAGACAAATAACAAGACGGATAAACAGCTGTTTATCCTATATTATCATAGGTTGACAGGTAAATTGGTAGACATGTGAAACGGGTTGATAGGTAAATATATTTACCAACATATATGTTGACAGGTAAATTGGGAAGCCGGTAAAATGGTAGATTGATTAACAAGTTGATAGCTAAATTCGTAGACAAATTCCTAGACAGTATTAGAATACCCTGTGTACATTTATCCCTGTGGACAAATTCATGAATAGGTGAATTGTTGAACAGATAGTAGTAAAGTTAAACTAAATATGCAAATACACATCTTTGTTCAACTTTTTAATTTAAACTAAGTCACGGCAAAGCGTGAACGGGTACAGCTAGTATTGCTAATAAAATTAATGAACGATAAATTATAATATTTGGTTTGGCACACACATCTGAATTATAATAATAAATAATTTACCTCACGTTTATAGGTTAATATTACGTTTTCAACACTGTGATTTGTATGCTTTTCAATGCAATAAACAAAAAAACTAAAATCATTTTCTTAAATATATGTATTTTCGTTATTTTTTTCAGCTGTTGGTGCCAGCTTGACGGACGTTCGCGTACTTACACCTAACGAACGAACACGAACGAACATGTCGAACAAGAAAATACAAAGAAGAACGAACAGGAACACGAACGAACGCGAAAAATTCCAAACGAACTTGAAAGGTGCGTCCACACCTAACGAACGAACACAAACGAACATGTCGAACAAGAAAATACAAAGAAGAACGAACAGGAACACGAACGAACGCGAAAAATTCCAAACAAACTTGAACAAGCGCTTAAAAGCAGTGAGCGCTTGAATTTTCGTTGTTCGTAGATGTTCCGTGAAACGCCAGTTTTATTATTGATATGGATGTAAGCTTTAATCATACGTCATTTTAACTGGTTTTTGTGTGATTTTTGTTCGTGTATATTTTGTAAATATACTGTAAATAAATTATTCAATTAATTTCACTCAGTTTTTGTATTTAATATTTATATTTTGAGTCGTTTTCTTTCCTCAGCATTCATATTTGGAGCAAGCTGAACATTCCAGGCTTGAGCTAACTATACTCAATTTTCAAACTCTCATCCTCAACATATATGTTGAATGTCTATGTATGATAACAAGTTTAATATTTAATTGTAAAAACTGCAATTTCTTCTTTACTGCAGCTTCTGACATCCCAAACGTTTTGCATACACTTTCTCAAGTATCGTTTTTTTTTCTAATAATTTTATTAAAAGGGTCTTTAGTCACCCATATTCTAGGAAACTTATCTAGTTCATTTATGAATGATAAAATTACGTCATTTGACCATTCCATAATTTATTCAAAATTTTCAACCAATACAATAATTAAAAGTAAATATTATTAAAATTTTCAAACTGTACACAATAATTAAAAGTAAATATTATTAAATTATTAAAATTATTATTAAATTATTAAAAAATTATTATTAAATTATTAAAATTATTAAAACAAAAATGTTCGTTTGCGTTCGTTGTGACGTCCACACTGCACATACGAGTTCAAACATGAACGAACAATTCCCTTTAGGTGCGTCCACACCTAACGAACGAACACGAACGAACATAAAAGAACGTACCAGAACGAACGGCAACAGCATAGTGTGGACGCTACGACGATCACGAACGAACATAAACAAACATGGCGAGCAATGTTCCGCAACTTGTCGGTACATCAAAGGGAATTGTTCGTTCATGTTTGAACTCGTGTGTGCAGTGTGGACGTCTCAACGAACGCAAACGAACATTTTTGTTTTAATAATTTTAATAATTTAATAATAATTTTTTAATAATTTAATAATAATGTTAATAATTTTAATGTTTGAACATTTTAATAATATTTACTTTTAATTATCGTGTACAGTTTGAAAATTTTGAATAAATTATGGAATGGTCAAATGACGTAATTTTATCATTCATAAATGAAATTGAAAAGTTTCCTATAATATGGGAGACTAAAGACCCTTTTTATAAAATTATTAGAAAAAAAAACGATGCTTGGGAAAGTGTAGGCAAAACGTTTGGGATGTCAGAAGCTGCAGTAAAGAAGATATTGCAGTCATAGATAAAAGAAGAGTATGATTGCAGTCTTTACAAGTAAATATTAAACTTGTTATCATACATAGACATTCAACATATATGTTGAGGATGAGAGTATGAAAATTGAGTATAGTTAGCTCAAGCCTGGAATGTTCAGCTTGCTCCGAATATGAATGCTGAGGAAAGAAAACGACTCAAAATATAAATATTAAATACAGAAACTGAGTGAAATTAATTGAATAATTTATTTACAGTATATTTACAAAATATACACAAACAAAAATCACACAAAAACCAGTGAAAATGACGTATGATTAAAGCTTACATCCATATCAATAATAAAACTGACGTTTCACGGAACATCTACGAACAACGAAAATTCAAGCGCTCACTGCTTTTAAGCGCTTGTTCAAGTTCGTTTGGAATTTTTCGCGTTCGTTCGTGTTCCTGTTCGTTCTTCTTTGTATTTTCTTGTTCGACATGTTCGTTTGTGTTCGTTCGTTAGGTGTGGACGCACCTTTCAAGTTCGTTTGGAATTTTTCGCGTTCGTTCGTGTTCCTGTTCGTTCTTCTTTAGGTGCGACCACACCTAACGAACGAACACGAACGAACATGTCGAACAAGAAAATACAAAATAGAACGAACAGGAACACGAACGAACGCGAAAAATTCCAAACAAACGCCTCAAAGCAGTGAGGGTTTGAATCTTTTTGTTCGAGGATGTACCGTGAAACGTCAGATTTATTATTTAAAGTGGCGGGAAAGAGAAAAATTATTTAAAGTCATCAAATTTACAAAATTTGTCAATAACAGCAATATCTTATAATAAATACAACATAAATTAATGCATTAATGCACATTTTAACACCAAAAAAGAAAAATGTTTGTCTACATTCGTGGTAGCGTCCACACTGCACATACGAGTTCAAACATGAACGAACAATTCCCTTTGATGTACCGACAAGTTGCGGAACATTGCTCGCCATGTTTGTTTATGTTCGTTCGTGATCGTTGTGGCGTCCACACTATGCTGTTGCCGTTCGTTCTGGTACGTTCTTTTATGTTCGTTCGTGTTCGTTCTTAGGTGTGGACGCACCTTAAATGAAATGCCATTCAACGTGCCCAAGTGGCGTGCTAACTCAAAACGAAGAGCATCTGTCAACTGTAATTTTGTTTACGTTAAGTTCCATATGCACATATTTTAGTAAACATATCTCTAAAATCATAATATTTTTATGTAATATCTTTATAAACCCTTTTCAGCTTATGCTCAATTCATAACAGGATCAATATGTTCATTGTTTATGTTATGTAAATTTTCTTCAAAATACATCAGAAATGGAAAATACATCTCAAAAACGAATAAAATTATGTGGCAACAAATGCGTGGTTTGCGGTAAATCTAAATTTTCAAACCCCGGATTGAAATTATTTATATTTCCTCGAAAAGACCCAATTCGGTGCGAAAAATGGATAGAAAGTACAGGATATCACGAGTTAAAATATTTACCTTCAGAAGCAAAAAGGTACGTCTGTGAATTGCATTTTGATGATAAAGACTTCATGAGTGTTCTAAGGAATAGACTGATGCCAAATGTAATTCCAAAGAAAACTGATATTCAAAGAAATATTGTGCCAAACAAATCAACAAGGTAATAGTTTTAGGCCTGATTAAGTACTCTATTTTTTATAATTACTAATAAAATAACTAATCCTCTTCTTTTACTTTTATAGCTATTACCGCACTCCTGTAAAAAAGGATCTTGCCAGTAATAAAGATGTACATGCATCAAGTACTGATATCCTAATGTGTACAAATAATCAAATGAACATAGCGTATTCTGAGAACATTCAACAAGATAGTACCTGGAATGATGTAGATAACCAAATACATACTTTAGAGATAAATGAAAAAAACAATTGTGATAATCTAACAAGTTTTTTAGTGAATAACATTTTACCAACAGAAACCTGCAGTAATTATGAATCAAGTCAAAATAAAACAAATGAAGAATTTGTTCCAATGATCCAGCCTTATTATAAACGAAATGGCAGGCCATTACCATGTAGACATTGCAAAAGGAAAGATAAAACAATTATGGCTCTGAGAAAACGAATAAGAGAAATAAAAAGGTTGACATTTAAAAATCGAATAGATCAATTAAAACATATATCAGAAGACTCGAAAACTTTTGCAAAGATGATACTAACACATGGTAGTCACCGAGTTTGGACAGAAGATGAAAAGACATTTGCAATTGATTTGCTGAATAAATCTTCATCTGCTTATTACTATCTACGACATAATAAAAAATTGATATTGCCATCAAAGGCATCAATACATAGCTGGATAAAAGAGAGAAGTAAAAAATCAGAGCAAACTTTGCCAAATGAAAGCAATATTAGTCATAATGTTCACATTAGTGAACAAATTACACTACAACGAAATAGTCAAATTCCTGAAAATAATATGATTTCTAATATTGATACTATAATTCCACTAACCTGCACTCTGGAAATACCAATGACACATTCAAATGAGAATATATTATCTGTTCCAGATGTTTCTAGCATAAATAGTTTTCCCCATCAGATGCAAACAATAACTTCACTTGAACCTTTACACACCAGTTTGCATGACTTAACACATGACAACCATATCAATCAACAACTCACTCACAATGAAGAAAATTCATATAAGCAAACCTATCAAATTATCACAACAGAAGGGATCAAATCTGCTTATATAATACATTTGAATAAAACCTAATAATCTTTTTAAAATATATTTATTAAATAAATAAAATTATTATAAATGACGATATTTTTATATTGGTTTATTATTTCACAATAAATAAAACAGGCATTCAATTTTATCTCATACATTTTAACAATGAATAGCACAAAATTACATTAAAATTCAACATTACTAAATTCTTAACAAAAAGTCAAATATCAATAAGTTAATATAACTCATTTGATATCATATTTAAATAATATTACATTATGTAAAATCAAGTAAAAAGCACAAAAATATATTAAGTAAAGTAGTTGGTTCACTTGATTTATGCCTGACAATTAAATTGTTTAAATATGCATTGCACCCAGAAAAGGCACTTAGAATTTTGAGAATTTTCATTTAAATGTCCAAATCAAGCAAACCAATTAATATATATTCATATTTTATTTTCTTTCATGATCAAAGTATATTAAACTATATTATATAATATATAATAGTAATTCATCATATTTACAAGAAATAATATTGCTAAGCTCTATAATCTATATTCAATTTGTTTAAGCAAAAATAATGCAATATCAATAATTTATTTTATTATATAAGTAATGTAAAATATTGCTATTAACATAAAATAGCTAAATTTGTTATGTAGGACTAGTTTCTCTATCATAATTTGAAATTTTAAAGTCAACATAATAATTATATATTTACGTTTTTATCTAGCTTCTAAAACAGTTTTGAATGAGATTTTTTTTAGAGTATTCAACTTTATTTACATATAGAATTCGCGCATACACATTACATTATGTCAGCCTAAATTACCGTAAAGAATAAAAATTGCCGAAAATGTCTAAGTTAAAATATTTTCAATATATTGTATAGTTAATTACTTAATCATATTAGGCATTGACAAATGAATGAGTATATACTTCTCTATCTTATAATGACTAGAATTATATAGACTATAAATATAATCAAGATTAATCCTAATATGTTGAAAATATATAGTATAAAAAAGTATTTTTGCACAATATCTAATAAAATATATATTAATGTTACTGATTTTATTGCACAGACTATCATTGCCATTAATTAATATAAGTGTGAGTAAAGTAGACCTTGTATCATAATGAGAATATTTTTCCAGATATGTAAATATAAATTTAATTTAAAAAATGAACGCATTTAATTTATCTTGTTTTTTTTTTTTTTGTAAAATTTCACAATTTTTATAAAAACATTGGCATTGTGAATGGCCTTTTTCATCATTGCAAATATTTCATTCGTCAAAATGAATTTTCAATCTATATTTTAAAAAAATCCTGACATCACAGTTAATGTTTGTAGATAAAGAAATATATATACATATACGTATATGTATAAAAGATCTAAATAAAATAAATACAAAATGACTAGACTATTACAATTGTTAAATGATCAGAAGCATATGAATTTTACGATATGTTGATGATTGAATTGTGTGGTATGAGTATATTAAATTATCTTTGTATATAAAATACTTAAGCTTAGATACATTTGTCAAATAATATAAGTACTTTCTTAAAGTGAGGACATATTTTTATCACATTGTAATTTCTATTAAAATTTACTTAACTGTCATGAATAATGCAAATGTTGAATACATATAATATGAAAAAAAAAATTGCAAAACTTAGAAATAAAAATTCGTCTAAAATCAGTTATAAATATTTATGAATATTAATCATGCGAAAATAACTCAAAGTATGACAAATAACTGTATAATTATATGAACATGCTATTTCTTTTCTATGCAATATTGAGATCCATGTTTTGCTAATATTGGATCTATTTGAAATCTGTATTTCCAGAATGCAGAAATACTTTTCTTGAGATGTTGATCAGTAAACCTGTGCATAAAACTTATTATAAAAACATATAAGTGATTTTGCACATACGATTTAAATCATCATACATAAATAAGATTTCTTTTAATAATAAGAAATGAATTCTACATATATGTCACCTAAATAAAATTATGGGCATAAATTAAAAGTGAATGTCAAGCCTGCAATAATTTAAATGTAAAAAAAACTTAAAAATAGAAATAGACACTGGACTAATTTTTCTAAATGTTTTTTAAATAAAAATCATTCTAAGTGAAAGCATAATAATTTCATGTAATACTTGCATGAACAACTAACGATTTTGTATATCATAAATGTTCACAATTGTGATTGTTTGTTACATTAAAACATAAAAAATGAATGTGTTTGAATAGCATTAAAGTTGCCTATTTTTATGAGTATTACCATTATGTTTAAATTTAATCTCAATCACAATTTTAAATAAGAAAATATAGTATGTTAGATATATAATACCTACGTACAAAAATAATACACTACAGGCCTAAGTATCTTTTTAGAGGATCATGTGTCATATATATTGGTGGAAGGAACATTTTTAGCATGAAAATAACAACTGGGTTCTAGTTTTAGGAAAGACATATTTTCTTTAATAAATTTGTTTTTACATGTCACAAAACCTGTACCTTAATTGATTTACCAAAAATTGTAATAATAAATGAAAAAAGATGTTAGTAGATTTGCTAACGGTTCCCAAAAATCTTTAACTTATGAATATGCAAAAAATGATTTAGTATTGATAATTTAAAAAATATTCATCTAAAAACACTCATAATAATCGGTGCAGCTTTGAAGGACTTCCCAGAGGTGCATTGTTTTGTATTCTATAGATATGTACTGCCTGAATGATATATACTACATTTTTGTTTATTATAGAGATGTATTGACATGATCCACTAAAAATGTATGTGGCAACTGTGCTATAAGACAATCTTGAATTAATCTAAAATATAGCTACCTTGTGTTCAGATGCTGAGATGCGGTACTAACACAGTAACACACACATATTTGGACATGACACAATCCCTTATTCGATAAAATTCAGTACATTTTAATGAATTGTGTGTATTACGTGCAGTCGGCTGCGCTGTGAACGGGCCGGTATCGACGAATTCGGGCCGTATTTTCTGCTGGAGGTGCACCAGGAGGTGGTGGAGGCAAGGAAGTGTCTTCGGAATTATCGGAACTGTCTTCAAAGCCACCCAACAGATGGGATGGAACTCCACGTGATCTAGAATTTTGAAATTATTGCACTTTAATTCAAGAGACATAACATATAAAAGTAGATAATATTTTGTAAATGTACAAGATGCAAAAAATGCGACTTAACATATATGCATGACTATATAATATAATAGACTATATAATTATTATTAATGTATAGTCAAAATTTCAAACCTTAAAATATTTCTCGTTATATTGTGTGGGCAAATCATTACTACAAAATTAATATTAATATATAAAACAGCCATTTATTTCTATATCAATCATTGTTACAACAGACAAAAAAATTTCAGATTTTCATTTTGTTATTAACATTTTTCAAGAACTCATACTCGCTCAAAGCTTGTATTTAGAATTTTCCTCGTATGTCGAAGCAAACGAGCCGCCCCTTAGGCGGCACTGTATCTGAAAACACTCGTAAGTCGGGGAACCATATTATATATCGAGTTTAGAATGTCTATTTCAAGTAGAATAAAGCACAGTTCTTTTCCCTCAAACGTGAAAATGATTTTAGTTGAAATATATTTAAAGTAAATATTAGAAAAGGAATCCTTCTATATATATATAACACAAGATTTCTGTAATGCAATTATTTAGATAGTTTCACTAACCTGTTGGACGTTTCATTAGTCCGAGACTTGTGTCTTGTGAATCTTAAATTTAATTGTGATACATCTGTAACATATTTTTCAGCGTTTTGCCTACGCCGTCTGAGTGCTACAAATTTAAATTTATTAAACTAGCTTACAATCATAATATGATATAATAAATATGTATAGTAATAAAATTCATTATAAATTAATAATAATATAATATAAAACTAACCAGGTGTGAGTTCATTAATTTCTGGAGTCATTAAGGGACTATCACTATTTTCACCCGACCAAGACGCGCATTTTGACAAACGTAAATTGTGGCTTAATCCCACAGGAACTGGTATCTTGCTTTGAGTTTTTATCATAATGTCTTTATTAGCCTATAATTTAGATTGAAATATAATTTAATTGAAATTTATATTTTATATGTAATATTATAATATTACATATGTATTATTAAGCATATTATATAATATTTAAAGGCAACCTCAAAATTATTCATAATTACATTGTACAATTTATTCAAAATGAGTTAGTTAAAATGATTGTAGGAATATACATACTTTATAAAAATTTATTCTAGAACTTCACTCACCAGTTCTTTGGAAAATTGCAAATTATCTTTGTTGTCTACTGACACAGGCCGAATTCTTTTCTGAACACTTTGCTTCAGATCATCATCTACAGCATTGCTGTGGGAGTTTAAATTTTCAGATATGGCTTCATTGGTTCCCAGTATATCCCCTGTTGACTTAGTGTGTTGCAAATTATGTACAGAATCAATTGCTTCGTTTCTGAGATCAAACCTCATAGGCATATGGCACTGAATACTGTTTTCAAATATTTTGGCATTCGTTTTAATTTGTGGATTATTTTCTACAGTTTGTGCTAATTTTGCCTCATTGTCACTAGCAGTCGACTGACAAAGTCCGCCGGCTTTCTCCGGTGTACTTGCCCTGGCAGAATTTCTAACAATATGATATTTACGAATTGAGGCTTCTACATTTTCATCTTTCCCTTCCTTAAGAGCTTTACTATCGCTTTTATTTGATTTAACAGTCAATGAAGTTTCACATAAAGGATTAGATTTAGTTGTGATAAATGTATCATCGCCATTTTTAGATTTAGCATTGCTGGTTTCATTCGAATTATCACTTATTTGTCTGTACACTTTCATAGTACCATTTTGTTCTATAGTATAATTATCATTTGTTGTTTTATTATTTATATTATCTTTATTTTCATTGTGGAGTCTCAACTGTTCTGTGATGCTCCCATTTTTTTGTTCCTGATAAATTTCATTGTTGAAAATTTGATTTTTAATTCCTGTGGATAATATTTTTTTATTTCTCAAATCTGTTATGGATTCTCCGTTTCTAGACACCACTTGTACTTGAGTGGGTTTCTTATTTTCAATTAATTTATTTGATTTACTAATAACTTCACATGTTTTGTTTATTAAGCCGCTTTTAGATGGATAAGGAAAACCACCTTTATCGGTCGCATCAAAATAAATAGATGGATCTTCTGGATTTGGACTGTGGCCATTAACTTCTGAAAAAAATAATAATGTTTAAGTTTCACATAACTTAGAAAATTATGGCTTATGGAAGTAATACAGATGCTGATTGAATACTTATTTAATAATAATTACGCAGAAACCGTAATTGATATTGAAATATATACACAAATTATATATAAAATAGAAGTGACATTTTGTTTAAAGGCAAATTGAATGAACATTTCGCAAAATCAAAAATTATTCATTATGAAAGATCTAGTAAATTGATTTTACAAGTAATTTGGTCAAACAATTTCCATTCATTATACTAATAAATTTCAATAAAAATCGATCTTATTTTTTAATAAACAAAAACGGATTGAATAATAATCAACCTATGGTAGGAAACTAAAATTTGATCAATGCTGTCTTTTTAGAAAATGAAGGGTTTAATACATATTTTTTATACTGATCGGTAGTATATGATATATCTTTGTTTTAGTTGTATTTGGTTTGGATAAATTAACAAAATGAAGTGTTTACCTGCTTGAGGAAGAACTCGAATTTCCAATCGACCGCTAACCGCACCTTCTAGTTCGGTGTCCATATCCCCACGAAGCGCCATCGCCTGTTAATAAATAAACAAATCACGATTTAAATTATACTCAACTCACATTATGTAAGTTTTTACATAAACACACATACAAATATAATAGAAAAGAATCAATATGGTTAGCATAGCATTCAATCTATTTACTAAATTATTTATCAATAATTGTTTCATATATTTGTTTCATGATATGTGGAAAAATGATACCTATTTTGTAATATTATAACATATGTTTCAATAACACACGCATTCGCATTCAAATCATGATGTATTCCAGCTTAAAACCCCAATGCGAGTTCATAAATACTTTGATTAGCAATATAGTTATTCCACTTAACATATAAGAATAATAACAATGAAAGTTTATATACCGGTAGACTAGATTTTCGTCCTTTGCCTTCTTTGCTTTTGGGTTCCTCATCAACACTTTCCCTAATTCCCACATTGCGCATAACGTCCATTTTAAAAACAGTATCATCAAAAGCAGCCTGCTGCAAAAGAGGCGGTTCCAGATGCTTTCTCAGAGCTGACCCAAGAGCTGGCATACTCCAACATCGTGGAAGGTATGATTCTAACCAAGGATACAATTCGATGCCAGCGATGTTTAAACATCTAGAACATTAGTTGAAAATAATAAATATCATATAATTTCATATATATATATATATATATATATATATATATATATATATGTGTGTGTTTAGCAATATCAATTTGTTAAAAATAGCAAAAAGCATTATAGATCTTTATTTTAAATAACTAATCTAAATTAATAAAAATATATATAGCAGTAATACATAAAACTATTCAAACTAAACTAAAATCAAATTACATAATCAAGTTAACTCACTTGTGTTTTAATTTAGGAGAAGTAATAATAGGTTCGGGCCGTCGTCTTATGTGTGTTTGACTTTTTGACCTATAATATTTGGGCCTCTCTCCATGATGCGAAGCACTTGGTCCTTTATGATCAGGGCTCTGTAAAAAAAAATTATTGAAATAAATATATTATTTTACTGATTAAATGAATGTAATTCTATAGTAGTATATTAATATTTCAAAATAAACTTTGAAATCAAAGCTTCAGAATTTTTTTAAATAAATTCATTTATATTATTATTAAATATTTAATAAAAACGTTACACACTTGTGGTTCTTGTTTCCACTCGTTATCAGTTGTTTCTTCTGAATCATCGAATTGGGATTTCCATTGAGACGCTAAAGTTAATGCACCTCCTTTAGTAACCTTAAAGAATAATTTTCTATTGTTAATTTTTTAATGATACAGTTACACAACAATTATTGTAAAAAACCTGTTAACAAATTGCCAATCTTATTTAGAAAAATATTGATAAATAAGAAAAATAAAAAAAAACTTATTTATGGCAATTAAATATTAATTAATATATTATTTAATTGATTCAAATTTAAAACTGATAGAAAACCCAAAAATTTCATACTTGTTGTAATGCAGAAACATTTTCATCATCTATTACAGCAAATTGTGTAACTGACTGGTCACCTCTTCCACTCAATCTGGTTCCAGATCCAGGTCTAATACCCATAGATCTCCGCCCTTTTGAAAAAAAAATTCTTATAGTCAAACCATAATTATTTCAAAATAACTAAAATGCTATTACAAACAAAATATTGATAGTGGATAGAATTATTTATTTTTAATTAAATGAATATATTTGTTGATAAATGGACCAAGTAAACGAATAAGAGAACTTTGTATGAAAATGTTTGACTCTATTGTATCAATGCATATTTAAAAAGTTACATATTATTGATAACTAACAAATAGAAACTACACATTTCTACACTTAATGATTTACCTCTTCTAGGCTGAACTTCATTACTACCCGTGCGAACCTCAAATGAGAAAGCGCTGCCATCAACTTCAGCTGATGGAACTCTAGGACTTGTAACCTCTGAACCTATTAAATAAAAAAAAAAGATTTATAAAAAATAATTACGATATTACTATATAATCATAATAGATATATACCTTGTAAATCGTGGACGCTTGTTGGGGGAGCCGTTAGTACTCGAAGTCGGCCTTGTGTGGGTCCCTGACTATGTGTACGTCCAACTTTTTCGCCACTCGAAATGTGACTCCTTACATGGGCTAAACATTTATCACGATCCCCTCTTTCATTATCTACATTTCGTTCATTGTTGTGCTGAAGATAGGAAGATAGAACAATATTAATTAGCTCTTGGAAACGAATAATTCTAACTACTGATTTAGAAAAAACCCAGTTAATACGTAAACTATTCATAAATGATATTAATATTCTCACTTGACTAAATAAATAATTTGATGCATGACCTATTAGTAATTTTGTAGAAAGAGCGGCAGTAATTTACAATTAATGGTGAATGATGAATAATTGAATTGAATTCAAATAGTGTCTAAATATCTATTCATAATTTCAGTCAGATATTGTTATTTTAATCCTCTTCCATGTGATTTATTCCAAATATATTTCATCAATGTTAATAAAACAAAAAGAAAATTAAGGGAACCTGGGTTAATTAAATATATAATTTTTTAATAAATATAGCAAATAAGAATAAACTGCATATTAAAACTCACTTTGTTAGTATCAGAGCTTGATCTTGCAGACGCCATAACTGCATCACCTTCATGATCAACTGCTTTTTCAATTGGTTGCTAAAAATTCAATGATCATTTTAGTATGTTAAAAAGTATTTGAAAAACAAACGTAACACTTTCATAATATATACAAAATGTATATTTGAAAATTATTAGTACTAAAGCATTATTAAAAAAATATGCATCAAAATTTTGGCCGACCAAAACCAGAATGGTTTCAGAGTAAACCATTTCATTTAATTAATTTTGATCATGTTAGTGATATCACAAAAATAATGGTTGCATAGAATCGGTCCAAAATTTTGTCATTTTTTTTGTATACCATAGTATCTACAGTTGTGGCCATGCTTACAGCTCTACGTTTCAACGGACTAGCAGGTATCACATTGGCAGGAGTCGTTGCCATGGTTGCATTACAATTCTTATCTACAGACACAACCTAAAAATTGAACATTAAACATGCATTAACTTTAATTACAAACAAATGTATGATAGTAGCAAATTTTATGCATATGACGTCCACAGGTAAAATATGAATTTCTAAAACTTGAATACGAGATTAATTCATTGATCTATTAAATTTTATAATCTTGCAAATCACAAATAGCATAATAATTAATTTATTGAATAATGACTACGAAATCTATTTTATTTATTGTGTATGTATACATGTAAAAAATGAGGAGTAATATTAGTCAAGGGTACTGATCTTTCTTAATGATATAATATATTTATGTCTTTTTTGATAACGAATTTTCTCACTTATTTGACGAAATGTTTTGCAAGAATTATTCAAACAAATATGAAAATTAATATTTTCACTTGGACTAATTATTCTATAAAGCAAGAATTATATGATTTATTTAAATATAATCTGTTTGTACAGATATTAACGCGAATATGTATAAAAATGTAGAAAAAATGAAACATGCTATTTTTTAAAATTTCAATACATACTAAAATTCTAATTTACACAAAAGTTATTTATTAGTTCAACAAACACAATGTATTTTAGATCACTTTCAGACAAACTGTGAGTATGCATTAGCCATAACAAGTGGAAGTAGTTAAGTTGTGCAATATTATTTACAATTTCATATCATAACTGAAGATGATGTTTACCTTTTCTCTATGCAGCATGTTGGTTGCAGTTTCTGTCGCCAATGGTGCAGTAGTTTCAGTCTCGATTCTTCTACGGGCCTAAAAATACACCATTATATAAAAAATCATGGAATAAGAACAGTATGAAATAGTACATATTAATATAAAGATATAAGATATAGACAAAAATATAAATATTTTCCACTTCATTTAAATGAAATTCATGAATCATTTAATATCAAAAATATTAAATTATCTGGTTAATACAATAATAATAAAATGAATAATGTGTGGTGATAAATTATTTATGTTATTGAAATGTATATATGAAATTAACAAGTAAGAAGATCAAACTAACGCAAAAAATATTTGAGCACATAAAATAAAATAAAAATAAATTTAAAAATATATAAATAATCTTATTGATACACAAGCAAATATATTTTAAGTAGCTAGCACAACGTGGATCAGGTGGCCGAGTGGTTAAGGCGTTGGACTGCTAATCCAATGTGCTCTGCACGCGTGGGTTCGAATCCCATCCTGATCGAATATTTTTTTTAACTTGTTTCTTATGCTTTTTCATTTTTATTCGTAGGCCTTTATAAATATTGACTTATCACTTTATTATTTAAATATTATAACTATATTATTTATTTTTTATAATTATATTAATTTATTTAAATATTATAATTAAACTAATTTATTTAAATAATTAAATAAATTATTATTGTAATAATAACAATATTTAAATATTAATATAACTCAATATTTATATATATCGATATTTATATGTATATTTCAATATTTATATATTAATCAACTAATTTATTTATTGTTCATTTATATTTTACTGTTTTGTCTGTAGATAAGAATTGTAATGAAACCATGGCAGCGAGTGCTATCAATTTGGTACCTGCTAGTCCGTTGTTATTCGTCATTTAATTTCTGTCACTATCTAATCATTTATTAAACCCTTTGCACTCCAGACCGTCGACAAATATGATGAGTCAGCAACTCCGTTAGAAATTTGGCAGCGTATTAGCCATAAAAGCATGTTTGAAATATAAAGGAAAATGCAGAACTGCAACGAATCAAAGTATTTATTTTTCAACATGATTATATAAACATTTTCTAATTATTAAATTTTGCAATAAAATGAAAGTTGCTGTTTATATCTTACACGCCGAACTGGGTCCGGCATCGGAGTGGAAAGGGTTAATTATTAGCTTCCCGAAGGAGAAGTTTATGTTTCCAACAGAAAATGCAATTCGCTTATTTTATTTAATGTTTTCTCTGGTAAAAATCGGCAATCTCTATGTAATTAATTGTTGATTTTGATGAAACTTTGCATGATTAATCAAAAATTAATCAATGTGTAGAATAATGGGCAGTGTCAAAATTTCAAAATTCTATCTCAATATTTTATAACTTGCTAAATATCAAATCAAATTGCTTAAGTTGATTATTTATTCATATGGGAAAGTTTATCACTTGTATTAAGGTTTTGTTTTATAATTTCATTTAATGGCCTTGTGTCAAGGTTAAATGCCACGCACACCTAGTTTATTATTATAATTATTTCCTGATAATTATCATTGAGTTAATTACTTACTATCCTAATTATTTAATTTAACAATACATACAAACAAAAGTGATCTTTGCGAAGCTATTACAAATGATTATGCATAATATGTTCTGTAAATATGTATGCTCAAATCTATATCCCGCAATATAATTATGAACAATTTGCCAAATCTCGTTTTTAATAAGATAAACCATTATCATAATAACTATAGTTTCTTTTATTTTGTAAGATATATTCGAGTACATTTATCAGGTGTACTGCCCTTTCTATTTCATTTCTTTTTTTTTCCTTTCAGAAATATTGACAAGTATTAAGATTTATTTATTTAATGGTTCAAAATTTAATTAGAAATGATGATAATCAAAAGATATCAAGTAATATTAAGAAATAAATAAATTGATTGTTCATTATTGATTAAAAAATAATACTTTTTCTGAAACATGTAGCAATTTGATATTGATCAATTATCATAAAAATCATTTATAGAAAAAACTATTATTTTTGAATTACTTACATCTCTATTATCTGTAGGTTCTATGTTTTCTTGATTGTTATCCAAACTGGATGGAGGAACATTTCTAGTTGCTCTAATGACGGCTCCTGATTGATTTGTGGGTAAGCTCGGCTGAAAATATTTATATTACATTATATGCTTCTCATTTTAAATAAAATTATATTTTGAGTGATCAAATCAAATAATGTAAAATATGTTGACATACATTTGTGAAGAACATAAAAGATTTTTTGTTAATATGATTAATATATAATGAGGAAGCATTTTTGAGATTTTTTTATATTATTTGATTACATTATCAAATTATCAATAAACCATTTAGCAATACTAAAATATACTTACAGGTTGTGATGAATTTGTTATATTTGTTTTCTCAAAGTCATATGGATCTGACTCTTTTACTCCCCTACGTTTCATACATCTTTCAAATAAAGATATTAGCATCTGAAATTGAGTCATAAAAAGAATTAAAATAGTATTCCTCTGAAATGTCTGTATGAAACTTACAGGGTAGTCTGGTTTATCTGCATATTCAAGACTTTGAATGTGTTCAAGAAACTGTCTGAGATCCGAAGGTAAATGCTTCAACAGCAAGCGATGATCATATTTTTCTTTCATTAATCCTACCTAAAATCAAGGTAAAAATTAAAGCATTATTTCATTCAATTCAGAAATATTAAGATATAACACAATATGCAGGCAAATATCTTTGTAAACATTTAGCACATTGGCTATATGCAAAGCATTAACAAGTATTATGTACACAGTTAAAACAATATTTTAATTTAAAGTATTGTGAAATGTGAATTTAACAAACCTGTTCTTTATCTTTTATTTTTCTCCAAGGCAATTGTCCATTGACAAATTCTACTAACATGTAAAACAATGACCACAAATCATCATGTCTACCCATTTCTTTATTACGATGAGCATTAACAGAAGCATAACGAACAGTTCCTAAACAAAAATTAGAAACAACATTTATTGTGAGAATTGAAATTGAGAAATTAGTACTTTGTAATATAACCACAAATACAATTTTGTTAATTAAAACATAAAAAAACAGTTCATAGTAAAAAAAATACTCAATATGCGTACTAAAATATATATGTTTTTAAATGAATATAACTTCCAAATGTTAAATCACAACATAAGACACATTTAAAATAAACCTGATCCATTTTTTAATAACTTTTGCTGTCATGAAATAAAAATTATGACCTATAACCTCAAAATAATTAACCAAATTCAATTATGAAAAACTTTTAAATTAGTTGATATGTAATAATAAATTTGTAGAAGGTGTAATGAATATAATAATGTGATAAGCATTAAATATAAAAATTATGGTTACATGTATAACTAATTACCTCTGAAGCCAGCAGCTGCTCTAGCAGCACGTACTTCACCTGTTCCAGTAGTATATTGACGAGCTAAACCAAAATCTAACATATACACTTTGCGGTTGTTGTAAGGCATTCTGCCAATTGAAAAATTACTCTGCAAGTTAAAAGACACAATTTTAGAATTTTTTATACAAAATTGTCACTTAAGAATACAATCTGAAGTGACTAATATCAATTTTCAAGAATCACGAATGAATTTTGATAATGAGTACTCATTTTAGAAACTTTCACATAAAAATTTATAAATATTGTTTTACAATAATCTTTTACCGGTTTGATATCACGATGAAGAAAACCAACTTGATGAATGCTTTCAATTGCTTTCAATATTTGCAATCCTAAACGTAATGTGGTTGAAAGTGAAAATGCTCCTCTAGGTTGAGCTCTTCGTAATTCTGCTAAGTTTCTTCCTTGTAATTGCATCACTACATAATTAAATCTATCATTTCTACCACAGCCTATAAATCGACAGACATGTTCTTTGCCTAAAATCACATTTCTTGAATTAATTAATATGATCAACAATACTCTAGCACATGGAATTTTGTTACAAAGCAATCAAACAAAATAAAAAATATTTTATTTGAAACAAATAATTAATTGTTAGAATGTAAGTTGTATGAAAATATTTTTTATATTTAAATTTCTATAGATTTATGGTAGTTAAAATTGTTTATAATCATACTGCTTCAGATTTGTTCCTTTTGAAATCATGAATTGGTTAAATTTAAAATATTGATTCATCAAAAATTAACAATCATAGAATATAATTTAGATCAAACACAAACTTCTTACTTATTTCATAATAACTTAATATAAGTAACACTGATGATAATTAATGCTCTGATTCTTATCTTAACTCTCACATTACAAATTATAATTTGTTTTACCTTGTAATTTCTTTAATACTGCCACTTCCATCTTTAATACTTGCTTTGGTTGCCTTGCAGATTCTACTTTGAGTGCAACTGGCTCACGAGTTACTAAATCTAAACCTTCATAAATCTCTCCAAAGCCACCTCCACCAATCTTCCTCATTACCTGCAATCAATTTGTATTAATGTAATAAAGCTCTATATAATTTGCTTTAGATGTACTTTAAAGGTAATGGTACTTTTGACCATTTGCTTCTACTATATGAACTCATTTTAAAATAATGAATTATTAAATCAATTTGTCTCTGTTGTAATTCTAACAACTATAGTTTATATTTGTTCCATATAATTCACTAATTTCAATATTCCACCTTCCATCTTTCCTTGACAATATGACCAGGCTGAAGCAAGTCTTCGGAAGTCATCTTGATGTTGTTGTTTTGATCTGTAGTAGGAGGCGATACTTGTCTCGAGGAAGACCAAACAGGTGGAAGAGTAGCGGAGCGCTGCAAAGGGGGCAGCCCTCCTTCTAACTCGACCGATGGCCTTGATTGCCTATAAAGTTAAAAAAGATATATATTCTTCATTATCACAATATATCCATATCAATATCAAAATAAAAGAATACTTTCATTTAATTTAACACATATGCTTATTGGGTTATAACATAACAAACCTCTTTTTCTGCCTTTCATATAATAAATATTTCTCATACATAAGCATCTAATATGTTCAACACAAATATATTTTTATTTTTGAAAACTGAGGAATGACATATGTGACAATTGAAATGGCAGACATATTACATTTTTTACAAACAAAAATAAAATAATGCCAATCAATAAACTTACAAAAAAGTATATTTGGTTTAATTCTTGTCATTTGTAACAGAATGCAATATCCAATAAAACACTAATGTCTGTCTAAGTGATGCCTGTCCGCCCACAAATAATCGATTTTTAGTTTCATTATTTTAATAAAACTTTTGATTCTAACATTAAACTATACTTCAATAAATCTTTCATATTTTAATAAAAATATCACTGAATACCAAAATTAGTGTCGGATAATAACAATTTATTTAAAGTTTTCCAACTATATATTAATCCGATGTTATCGCACATGTTTCATAAAGTCATAAAACCGAATTCACATAGAAGGACAAGAGCTTAGAAAACTTTTGCAAATCTTTTACACACAAATTTGACACAATCATGTATAAATTAGTTGAATTGTTGCAACTTCCTTACAGATTAAAACTGACGGGATCGATACAGCAGCCATGACAGTTTCATTGCGCAACTGCGACTTGAACTTAGCTTCATAGAGTCGTGGTTTTGAGAAACGTCAAAATACGAGCTTTTACATTGTAATCTTAAGAGATTCTAATTCAAGAAATACGTTTTTATATGCTTTCGTAAAATATTAACAACAAGCGAATTTAGCATAATTACATGCTAAATATAAAATACGTATCTTTAATATGTATATTTTTCACATCAGAAAACCTATCGTTGTTTTTAACACTTTCAAAAATATTGTTTCCACACTCTATCGAAAAATCAGTAATGTTCGAGTTCTTATAATAACATATTCAAGTACTACTTGGTACCATGTACGTCTAAAACGCTTTTATCTACCTCCCTAAAATAGAGATTTTGTATTTTGTCATTGTACAATGATATTGCGAGGGTTGTATATAATTAAAATATTTTCATTGAAGGTTTAATGATTAATCTTTCTTTTATTAAATTAAATTAAAATTACTATAACTTACCTTACCGGAAGTTGATTAAATTTTAAATATTTAATTATTTTTAATTATTTTATTCATAATTATTTGATTTTAATATTTTTAACAATTTGTAATATGATATCTGTGAACGCATGTTGCGTGCTTTAAATTTGCACCTTATATATCTCATATGTTGTGCTTATGTATACATAGTTCTGCTTATATATATGAATTTTATCAGGGTAACATATATTAAAAAACTTGTTTATTAAAAAGTACAATTTCATTGAATCCTTACGTTTCGTCTGTAATACATTTTCTTTTTATCTTTGTCAGCACCAATAGCAATAAAAAACCTTAACCTGTTAATATATTATTAACAGAATGACTAATTTAGCAAAAATATGTATAAATATGTGTAAAAATGGGTAAACTAAATTTTTACTTAAAAAAAACTTATTTTTATTAACATACGTTAGATCCTTCAAACAGTGTATTTAGTTATCAGTTAGCCTTTAAGTTTTTGAGGTGCTTCTTACTCTTTTGAATCCAAATTTAAGGTATTTTGTGCAATCATTTTTCAGTTACCATCTTCAATTCCATAGATTTTCCATTTGCTTGAATTGAATTATTAGTTTAGTGATAGTGATAGTTTTTGAAAGTAGTTAATTTTATTATACATTTTGCATTGAAATTTTGCTATTTTCTGTTTGTTATATTTTCGTTTATTTTCACTGGATGGTTGATACAGAATCTGTATGATATAATTAACTACTTTCAAAAATGTACTTGCAAAAACTATCACTAAACTAATAATTCAATTCAAGCAATTGGAAAATATATGGAATTGAAGATGATAATGGAAAAATTATTACACAAAATATCCTAAATTTGGATTCAGAAGAACTGATAACTACTTAATGTTAACTGATAACTTTACACAGTATGAAGGTTTTAACGCATGCTAATAAAAATAAGTTTATTCAAAGTAAAAATTTAGTTTACCAATTTTTACACATTTTTATATATTTTTGCTAAATCATGATTTAGCGAAACAGAGAATGACTCTGTTAATAATATATTAATAGGTTAAGGTTTTTTATTAGTGCTGACAAAGGTAGAAAGAAAGCTTCCACTATTCAAAGAAATGTTTGTTCCACATATAACTGAATTATTGGTGTTAAGTGCAAATAATGTGTACTTGACACTAATTACCGATATTGATTTCAAACTCAAAAATTCGATTTTTGTGTCGCATACACATTTGCTTACATCTTTTTTCAGGTAAGTAGAGCAAGGATAATAATTAGTGAAAGTAAAAATATGTACACTACATATTTGTGAACTAACTTTGCATTCATCACAATATTTTACATTCATAGATTATCAAAATTTAGCAATTTTATTAGTGTGAAGTAGGTACTTAGAAATCTTTAAGAACAAAAGTTGCTTCCATACCAAAATCAATCAAATTAGGAAAGGTAATATTGTGGACATTAAAATTTTTCTAAAAATAAGTAAACATATTGTCACAAAATCTAGATCAGTTTTACTACAGATGCCCATTTTTCACACCTTTGACTGACACAGAGTTTAGAGAACTGATCTATATAGCTTAAGAGTGATAAATGATATGTTAACAAATCGGCACGATTCACAAAACTAAAATAAATATTTAGTATGTTTCAGTGAAATACATTAAACTTATGTTTACATTAAGCTTTTCTATATTAATTTTATTAAAAGGTAATTAATTCCGTAGTGATAATAAAGCAGTAGCTACATTACCAAAAATGAAAAATGTGGTATTTATTTGCAAAGCAAATTCTCTATTCAAATTCGAAATATTATTAAAATATTTTTAGGTAATAAATTTCTGATTATATGATTTATTACTATAATAAGTAGGCATGTGATAGTCTAATCAGTCGTCTTTTTAACTAAAAAAGTTACTCTTTTTTCACAAATAAGATGAAGAGTCTCTTCTATCTTTTAAAAAAAAGTTTTTGATATGGTAATATATTCGTCACGGGTTTTTCATTCCGTACACTTGTTTCCCCAATCTCGTAAAAGAACCATCACTAACATAGTGGGCAATTGTCTTTGTATATTTTAGAATACATGCAGTTACTTGAATACTTTCAAACTTTGTTTATAATGCTCTCATAAAACATAGTAGGGAAAAGGATCGATAGAAGAATACAGTTTGGGAAATTCGTTCGTCGAAATATACTTCTTAAACTTTATGTGGAATGTATTTATTACCACAAGGCGTACGAAAGTACAGACGTTGTCTTCATGTTTTTTATAAAAATGAAGCACTGTTTCTCAACTATTTGTGTCTTTTATTGAGGTTTTAGAACTTTTAACTACTGAACGTACTTTAATTACATATCAATATTTATAATAATCTTTGAGATTTCATTTAGTTATTCGAATTTAGTGTATTCTATTTTAGGTTTATTTGAAATAAATTCGTTTTTATCTCTTCATAATGTGATACTACCAAAATTAATTTTCTACTACATAACTGGTACGTACTATGCTTATCCAATAGCCACAACAATTTTTCAATGATTTTGATTAAACTTAAATAAAAAATATCAGAAGTTATTTATAAATATCTGAATATTCGAAGTCATTTCCTATGTTATTGGTGGACCAGGTTCACCACATTAATTTTGGATTCTGAAAATCGAAGTAAAAAAATCAATCATTTACGACTACAAACTATAATAAAGAATCTTTTAGGCAGATCTAGTAAAGAATCGATGCAAGATTTAAATGCAAGTAAAGTTGAATTGTATTCTGAGACAATTGTTTAAAAAAAATCTATTTTAGAATTATTTATGTGAGAACTTTTGTTTCGACGAAAAATAAAAAGAATTGACTACTAAATGTAAATATTGACTTATGTATTCGTCAGAAGTTTTTCTGTCGAAGCATGTAACACGATGTCTAGGCACAATCGTGAACGTAAACATGCAAAAACTGTTAATCCTTTCTTGACAAATATAAATGATTTTGTTATTATTTTGTTAACAAGTTTATTTTATTCAAGATAATTAAGGACTTGAAAAACATACTTATGATAGTTATGAAAATTAGTCAAATAGTAGATACATAATTTTATAGTAAGTGCTTGCAATTTTTTCTTAAACTCGTATATCATTTATATTCATAATTTAAAATTTTATTATAAAATATATTGGAAATTAAATGTAAAAATTGTATGTAATTGCATCGACATATTGACAAATAATTTATAAAAATTAAAAAAGAATGTTTACAAATTATATTGCTATTAAAGTAATAAAATATCGACGATTACTTAATATTGTTATATTATTAATATTACCTCAAATTGTACCTATATTGCATACAAAAACTATTAATTCTTACTTGACAAATATAAATGATTTAATTTTAATTTTATTATTAATTATTTTGTTTCAAAGAATATTAAATTGCAAAGAATAATATGACTTGAAATAATAAAAATGTTCGTTATTGATTTGTAATAGTAAACTCTATTAGTCAAACAGTAGTATCAATTGCTTGCAAGTCAAACTGTTTAATAGTACAGTAGTATATTATTTAAATTCATGATTCAAAATTTTAATATAAAACTAAGTGAGGTGCATGGCATCGTGCCTTAAGGCAAATTGCTGGAACCTCCCGTTAATCAGTTCTTCTTCTTGTCAATACAAGTAAAATGTTTTTTAAATTATTAAAATTAGACGCTCTATTCTCTTAAAAAATGAGTTACCGTTTTTGGCAATTTTTGCCCCGTATTTTCGAAACGGCTAGACCTGCCAAAAACTTATCTGCACGTCTCCTTATTAATAGAAATCGAATGTTTTTTGAATCATTAAAATCGGTCGAACCGTGTTTCCGAAATCGTTGACGAAAATTTGTATCCGAACATACACACACACTCACACACACACACGCACACACACACGCACACACACACACAGAAACTTTTGAAACGTAAATATATATAAAAATTTTCATTTTCCATTTTTTTTGCGATTACTATAACTTACCCTACGGGAATGTAGGACAAATAAAATGTATTATTTGATTCAAAAATGGTATATATAAGCGCATGCACAAAAGAAAACTAGTTAAAAGTGGTAACTTCCTGAAATGTGTAATGATTAACTTAATCAACCGAAATTGAGAATTAGATATTTAGGTAAAATTTTTACTGTTTATTATTGAAAAAAATACTTAATATTGTTATATTATTAATATCACTCAATATTGTGATATTAGAATAAACTAAAGATTTGAACAAATAATAAAAATACTTGTTTTTAAAGTACTTAAGATAAATGTATATTGTATTCAATATATAATTAAATATTTTACATTTTTTATTTTTTTCATCACTATATTAATATATTTTAAAAAGTCATTAAATATTTTTTAATAAGTTATACATTTATTATATTTTACTGAAGCAGTCAAGCCTCTTATATGCTCAGAGATTATATTTATTATTTTTCCTATTATACA